GATTTCAAACACCAGATCCCTTAGAAAGAGTATCCATCCGAGGAAAAAACCCAGAAGCCATGGAATGCTTATTACGGAGAGCACGCAGGAATGTTCATAGGCAAAAGACTCGAGGACAGTGGCACTATGGCAATATGGAGATTGTGACATTGGTGCGATTAGTAGTATCACTGTGACATTTTTATTCCATATTTAATGGTGGGGAGGAGGCTATTATGCTGTTCTGGGCCTAGCGTTGAGCTGCCTGCAGGCCAGTGCCACCAAGTGTCCTTTCCTGCTCCTCAGCCCCCCTGGGCTGAGGCAAAAGTGCAGCCCTCATTGTGCATCACCTTGTTCCCATCATGACAATCGTACCACACAACAAGACTGAGCACTAATAAGCTACTTGGGCTTAAATCCTGGCTCTGCCACTTTCTACATATGTGACCTGGAACTTAATCTCTCTGTACCTTGGTTTTCTCACCTGAAAAACAGGAGTGATAATAGTAGTACTTACACTTACCTCATAGGGTTTTTGTGAGGATTAAATTAGATAAGCTAGTACCAGGTAGAGTAGCCCAGCCCATAAGTGTTAGATATAGTTATCATTATCCACTTAATTGCTGGCTTGCAACAACCCCGAGCCTTAGACACTATTATCTACAGATGAGGAAACTAAGGCTTACAGAGGTCAAGTTCCTTGCCCAGGTACACAGAGCTACAATAAGTGGCCAAGCCAGGATGTGAACCTGGGCTGAACTGACTACTAAGCCCACTCTCTTATCTACTGCCTCCCTTGGATGGTTAGAATGTTCTGAACAGGCTCAAGGCCCAGCAACACACAGACAGAGTGTCAGAGCTTTAAGACCTGTCCTGCCCCTTCTTCCTCAAATCGATTCCTTGAGAAAGGAAGCAGCTGACCACCTAAAGTGGCCCTGAAAGTTAGAGGCAGAGAAGGCAGAAAATGCAGCTCCTGGACATCAAACCCAGCACCACACAGGCTGCCTTCCCCACACCCCTCAACCTTTGGGGTTGAGCTGCACCTGCTATCTCTGCCCCCTCCCCAACATCCCTGGCATTCTGCCCTGTAAGTTATATTGTCCTTTTCAACCAGAATCTGGACCCCTCTATGTGCCAAGAACTGAACTTACTTGACCTTTGGGCCCAAGGTCTTTGGGAGACTGTTTCCTAGGGTATTAATCTTCCTACTGAAGCTGGTCCCCTTTTGCTCCCAGGCTTTCTGGAGACGCAGAAGTTTCAGAGGGCTAAAATCCTGCACAGGATATGATTTGATCTGGAATTCCTTAAATCTCTTCACAGGAGAAGGTTCTGTTAGAGAAAGCACAGGAAAGCACATTTGGGGTCTCTGCACAGATGAGGGTGTGGTGGTAGAGGTTGGAGGTATATCACAGTCACCTGCCTGGCTAGTCTGGTGCATAGTGAAATTAAGAAAAATACAAGAGGGAAAAATAACCCAAGACTGTGGTCCATGTATTGTCCCTCTGTGTAAGGCCCTGAGCTAGAGCCTTTATAGCCACTGCATCCAGACAAATGTCACTGGCCTCATTTAAGAGGTAAAATGAGCAGCAGAGAGGTTAAGTCACCCAGGAAAAGGCTGAAGCTTGGATCTGAACTCAGTCTATCTGACTCAAAGCTCATGTCTTTTATCAGATTACATTTATCTGGGCTTTCAAACTGGGATTGGGGGCAGGGGTAGCAATAAACGATAAATGGACAACCAGCCATAGAACCTTGAACAAGTCGCATAATCTCTTAGAACCCTCATAAGATAATTGTAAGAATCACAGATAAAAGTATGTGCTATGCACCTAGCACAGTATCCAGCACATAACAGGCCCTTCAAGAGAGTTATTAAGAAGTTCTCCAAGCAAGGAAGGAAGCTCAAGACATTTTGGGTATCTCAAGAACTTGAGGAATTCACCAAAGTCTAATAGGTACTGCAGGCAAACCTGATGGCAACTAGGTGGCTCAGCTTCCTTGCCCTGAGGGGGCGGGGGGGAAAGTTCTTCAAGAGAATACTACTCAGAAATAAAAAGGAGTGAACCAACTACTCAAAAACACTACTCTGAGTGAAAGGAGCCAGATGCATAACAGTACATACAGTATGATTCCATTTACATAAAACCCTAGGAAAGACAAGTGCTACCTATACGGACAGAAAGCAGGTTGCTGGTTGCCTAGAACCAGGGGTGAAGGGTAGGAATTAACTGGCAAGGGGCACAAGGAAACTCTTTGGGGTGATGGACCCTATAACTTGATTCTGATATGTTTCTCAAAATTAACTGAACTACACATTTTAGATATGTGCATTTTATTGTATGAAAAACCTCAATGATGATTTTAAAAGTAGGTCTCCAAGTATCAGAATCAAATGTTAAAGTTAATGGTAATAGAAATAAGTCCAAACTACAGAGGAGAAGGGCCTGGATTAACAGAGCACATATAAAAAGGCCTGAGTATAACCTCTTTAGAAGGCATACTGGCAACATCTACCAATATTTTAAATGTGCATAGCCAGTACACACTGGATCAATGATTTGATTCAATGTTCTAAGAATTTATCCAATGTTTCCTTGCACAAGTATGCAAAGGTAAACGCATCAGGAAATTCAACATAGTAGGGTAAAAGTGAAAATTTGGAAATAACCCAATATATCTGTAAAAGGTGATTTGATTAATTAATTATGGTATATCCATACAACAGAATGAAGTTCAGCTATTAAGAAACATAGATCTAGATTTCTGATTCCAACCAAATGGACTAACATAGACTAGATTTACTCTTCCTCCTGAAACTACTAAAATATCAGGCTAAATGTATAAAAAGATGATTTTCAAGACATTGGCCACAGTCTTAAAAGGTAGAAAACAAAGGGTGTGAGCCTTACTATTGCCCCAGCTTACTGACTGGAGATTTTCTGGGATATGGTGCAGGGAAGGGAAACCCAAGTGCTCTCTCTGAATTGATGAGACACAACTGAGACTCCAGAGAGTCTCAATTATGCTAGAGTTCACAGCTAGAGCTCGCAGAGCAGCGTACCAGGGAGGAGGGGGCTGCAGAAGAGAGAACTCTGGTCTTCCAAGGTACACCTTCAATCTCAGCTGAGTACTGCACAGCATGTGTATCATGTTAGGAAACCAGCGGAGGTAGGCAGCCTCTAAGATAGCCCTCAGTGAGCCTCACCACGGCCCTGGTTTTCGCACAATGGTAACATCCTCCCATTAAGTGTGGCTTGGGCTTGATTCTAAAGAACAGAATACAGCAAAAGTGATGGGATGTCACTTAGGATTAGGTTTAAAAGATTGTAGCTTCTGCCTGGGGCACATTCTGTGTTGCTCTCTCTTACTCCTAGGGAAGCAAGCTGCCATGTCATAAAACAGCTCTATAGAGACATTCATGAGGTGAGGGACTAATAGCGATATAAGTGAGCTTGGAAGTGGCTTCCTCCCAGCTGAGGTTTCAGATGAGACCACAAGCCTGGCAGACAGCTGCAACCTCATGAGAGAACTTGAGCCAAAGCACCCAGCTAAGCCATGCTCAAATGTCTGGCCCACAGAAACTGAGAGATAAGTTTTTGTTGACTTAATTCATTAAGTTTTGGGATAATGTGTTACACTAGTTCCAAAGGCTGGAAAAGAACCTTCCAAAATAATTAGAGGATACATCATCACAGCTCACACAGGACCAGAAGCAGTTCTTGTTCCTAACAACTAGAACAGAAAACCTCATGAGTCAGGAGCACCATGAAACACTCAAAATGGTTTTCCATCATAAATGGGGTGAAAATTAGCTCTAGATTGAACACTGCTCTCATCCCACATAACAAAGCTTAAAAGCTAGCCTCTGAAAGATAAAAATATTTCCAAGTAACTTAGCTGCATCCCAGAACAAAACTCAGGAATATTTACAGGAATTAAAAAAAATATGTAGCACCCAAAACTCAGTTTCCAGCATCCTATGAAAAATTACCAAGCATGCAAAGAAGTAGGGAAGTATGACCATACAAGGAGAAAAAACAATGAATTAAAACTGACCCAAAAATGGCAGAATTAATATTAAAGAACAGTAAAACAATTATCATTTATTAACAGCTATTATCACATACACAAAGAGGAAATTTTGTGTACATGAAGCAAAGACATGGCAGTTATAAAAAAAAAAAAAAGACCCAAATCAAACTTCTCGGATGAAAACTACAAGGTCTGAAATGAAAAATACACTGGATGGGATTAATAGCAGATTAGACAATGCAGAAGACTAGTGAACTTAAACACATAGAAATAAAAACTATCCAAAATGACAGAGAGAAAAAAGATACACATACACACACCCCCCAAAATTAATAGAGCATCAGTTAAACAATTTCAAGCAATCCAATATACATGTAGTTGGAGTTCCCAAAGTATAGGAGAGAGAGGAAAAGACGGAAAAAATTAATGGCCAAAAAAATTCCAAATCTGATGAAAAATGTAAACCCAAATATCCAAAAAACTAAATGAACCCCAATCAGAACAAAAAGGCATATTATATACAGAGGATGTACGAAGTTCTGCAAAGAGGTTATATAAAGATAGTATGTAGGCAGACTTCTTACTGAAAACAACGCAAGCCAGAAGACAGACTTTAATACAACATCTTTAAAGTACTGAACAAAAAAAATCTGTTAACCTAGAACTCTATACCCAGCAAAAATTCCTTTCAAAAATAAAAACAAAATAATTTTCAGTTTCATTTCAAAATCATTTCAGAAAAGCAAAAAAAAATTCATCACCCGCTGACCTTAACTATAAGAAATGTTCAAGTAAGTACTTCAGGCAAAAGGAAATGGTACTATGGAAAATTGGACCTATGCAAAGGAATGAAGAACATCAAAAATGGTAACCACAGCCCTGGCTGGTAAGGCTCAATTGGTTGGAAAGTCATCCTGTGCACAAAAGGGTCGTGGCTTTGATTCCCGGTCAGGGCATATACCCAGGTTGCAGGTTCAATTCCCCCATTGGGGCATGCACGGGAGGCAACCGACCAATGTTTCTCTCTTACATCGATGTTTCTCTCTCTCCCTCTCCCTTCCTCTCTCTCTAAAATCAGTGGAGACATATTCTTGGGTCAGGATTTTTTTTTTTTAATGTCTTCATTGATTTCAGAGAGAGGAAAGGAGAGGGAGAGAGAGAGAGAAACATCAATGATGAGAGAGTCATTGATCAGCCACCTAGCCCGCAACCCGGGCATGTGCCCTGACCGGGAATCGAACCCTGATCACCTGGATCCCAGGTCGACGCTCAACCGCTGAGCCACACCCAGCCGGGCGGGTCAGGATTTTTTTAAAAAGGTAACCACATAGGTAAATATAAAAGGCTACTGTTCTTATTAGTGAAGTATATTTAAAAGATAATTAATTGTTCAAAACAAAAGTGATAGCCATTTATTGTAAGATTTTCAACATATGTGAAAGTAGAATATACAACAGTAGCACAAAATCTAGAAAGAAAGAAGTGGAAGTTTAATGTTGTAAGGTTCTGATTCTATACATGAAGTGGTAGAATATCTCTTGGAGGTAAATCGTGATAACTTAAAGGTATATACAGTAAATCATAAAACAACCACTAAAATAATACCACAAAGATACCTAATAAGCCTACAAAGACAATAAAATGGAATCATACAAAATATCCAAAAGAAGGAAGAAAAAACAGAACGACAAAGGGTATAAAGAACAGATGGAGAACAGATGGGACAAATAGAAAACAAATAGCAGGATTATAGATTTAAACCCAACCATAATCAATAATAACACTAAATGTAAATTTAGACATGTCAAAAAAAAGGCAGATTGTCAGACTGGATTAAAAAAACAAGACCTGCCCAGCCAGGTGTGGCTCAGTGGTTGAGCATCGACCTAGGATCCAGGATATCGCAGTTTGAGTCCTGATAAGGGCACATGCCGGGGTTTTGGGCTCAATACCCAGTGGGCAGCGTGCAGGAAGCAGCCTATCAATGACTCCCTCACTGTTAATGTTTCTCTCTCTCCCTCTCCCTTCCTCTCTCTGAAATCAAAAAAGTTATATTAAAAAAAAAAAAGAGCCAACACCCTAGCTGGTCTGGCTCAGTGGCTAGAGCATCGGCTGGCAGACTGAAGGGTCCTGGGTTTGATTCCAGCCAAGGGCACACACCTCAGTTACAGGCTCGATCCCAGGCCCCAGTCAAGACGCATTCATGAGGCAACCAATCAGTATTTCTCTCACATCGATGTTTCTCTCTCTCTCTCTCTCATAATCAACTGAAAAAATATCCTCGGGTGAGGATTAAAAACAAAACAAAACAACAAGACCCAGCTGCATGCTGTCCTTCAGAATCCACTTTAAATATAAAGACACAAAGAGGTGGCACATAAGAGGATGGAAGATATACCAAACTAATACTAATCAAAAAGTGTGGCAAAATTAATGTCAGAAAAAGTGGGTTTAGAGCAAGGAATATTCCCAGGAATAGAAGTTCATTTCATGATGAGTAAGAATTCAGTCCTAAAGTCTATGCACCTAATAATAAGAGAGCTTCAAAATACATGAAGCAAAACTGATAGAAATGCAAGGAGAAAAACATATCTACAACTGTAGTTAAAGATTTTTAACAACACTCTATATTAATAATTGCTAAAGACAGAAGGTGGAAATGAGTATAGGTATAGCTGTCTTGAGCACTATCAACCAACTTGACCTAACTGACACTCACAGAACACTGCCCCCATTTCCAAATGCAAATGGAACATTTGCCAAGAGAAACTATATTTGGATCCACAAAACAAGTTTCAATACCTTTAAAAGGATTCAAACCATACAAAGCATGTTCTTAGAAATTAGTAACAGAAAGATAGATGGATAATCCCCAAATATTTGGAAACTAAATAACACCGTTCTAAACATTCAATGGGTCATGTGTTCTTATCTTTCAAGAAATCAAAAGGGAAATTTAAAAGTATTTTGAAATGAAGTTTATGAAAACAACATATCAAAATTTGTGTAGAAATCCCTGAAGATTACATGATAAAACTGTTAGAGCTAATAAATAAATTCATCAAAATAGCAGCATACAAAGTCAACACAAAAATCAGTTGCATTTCTATACACTAACAATAAATAATCTGAAAAGAAAATTACAAAACAATTCCATTTACAATAGCATCAAAAGAGTAAAATACTTAGGACCTGACTTAACCAAGGACATGAAAGGCTTGTACAAGAAAAACTACAAAACACTGCTGAAAGAAATTAGAGCCCGGCCGGGCGTGGCTCAGCGGTTGAGCATCGACCTAGGATCCAGGTGATTGGGGTTCAATTCCCTGTCAGGGCACATGCCCAGGTTGTGGGCTCGATCAATGACTCTCTCATCATTGATGTTTCTATCTCTCTGTCTCTCTCTCTCCTTTCCTCTCTCTGAAATCAATGAAGATATACTGGGGGGAAAAAGAAATTAGAGAAAACATAATAAACAGAAACACATGCCATGTTCATGGATTGGAAGCCAATATTGTTAAGATGGCAACACTAAACAAAATGATCTACAGATTTAGTGTAATTCCTATCAAAATCCCCGTGACATTTTTTGCAGAAGTAGAAAAACCCATCCTAAAATTCATAAGGAATCTCAAGAGACTCCAAATAGCCAAAAGAATCTTGAAAAAGAACAAAGCTGGAGAACTCACACTTCCTGATTTCAAAACTTAGACTTACTACAAAGCTACAGTAATCAAAACAGTGTGGTACTGGCATAAAAACAGACATATAGACCAATGGAACAGAATAGAGGGCACAGAAATAAATGTTCACATATGGGGTCAAGTGATTTTTGACAAGGGTGCCAATACCATTCATTAGAGAAAGGACAGTCTTTTCAACAAATGGTGCCGGGAAAACTGGATATCCACATGCAAAAGAATAAAGTTGGACCTTTATCTAACATAACACCATATACAAAAATTAACTGAAAATGGATCAAAGACCTAAATGTAAGATCTAAAACTATAAAACTCTTAGAAGAAAACATAAGGCGAAAGCTTCATGACACTGGATTTGGCAATGTTTTCTTGGATATAAAACAAAGGCACAAGCAGCAACAACAACAACAATAGACAAAATGGATTTCATGAAAAATTTTAAATTTTGTGCATCAAAAGACAAAATCAACAGAATAAGAAGGCAAACTACAAAATGGGATAAAATATTTGCAAATGCCCAGGATATACAGACAATTCCTAAAACTTAGAGAAAACGAAACATGAGGATGTGGAGAAATGGAACCTTGTGCGCTGGTAGTGGTGATGTAAAAGGTG